TTTAATTACCATAGTTTTGCAATATATTTTGGAACCTTGATACCAAAGCCAAAGACACCTCAAGAAAAGAAAATTACAGGCCAATATTCCTAATGAGTATAGCTATAAAAATTCTCAACAAAATGCTGGCAAAAGCCAAATTCAACAGCACATTAAAAGGACCATACACCATGACTAAGTGCGATTTATCCCTCAGATGCAGGGACAGTTCAACACATGAAATTCATTAATCTGATATACCACATTAACACAGAGAAGGACAAAAATCACACAGAAACCCATGTTCTTGTGTAAGTTTTCTTGTATGTTTTTCCCTGTGAGACCAGGAGTTTGCCATTTCTCCAGGGAGCCCAGGTTTCCTTTAGTAGGAAATATTTAGAATAAAATAAAATTTTTAGCTGAATGGATAACTTGACCTGATCATCTTTAAAGTCTCCGAAAACCCTGAGTGTCATGCTGGGGTTAAAAAGTTCAAGGTTTGGAGTCAAACAGATTACAGTTTGAGTCCCAGCTCTATCATTTACCAGCTTGGTGATCTTGGAAAACTTACAAGGCTTCCGGTTTGGGGCAAGACAGACAAGCAGCACAAACTGAGAGCTGTCTCCTGGAAGAGATGCCTCAGGGAGATGAATAGAGGAGATGATGGATCTTCAGGCTGTGCTCAGCAACAAGCGGAAACCCTGCGGGAGGATAGAAGTTAAACTGGTCCACTGGCTAGCAGGTGAGGAGGGTCTGGGGTCACAAATAGAAAACAGGTTTGGGGAAAATTCGTTTAAGTTTTACCCTTTGCTCATACCCTAAGCAGATTCCCCATGCCACCCTCTACTTGGTACTGCAGAGGCAGGACATTGGCAATGCAGGCTAGTGACAGAGTGAAGGCTGCAAGACAGTGCCATAGCTTAGTGTGCTTATGAACAGATGGCAATGCTTTCAGTTGGTTTAACCAGCCCCTGAGAATTAACGCCCTCATCACTGCACACACATACATCCTGCTCTCACTACCCTTTGGGCATCCACTTACGATAGAGACTGGCTGTGTCCAATAAAAGATTATTCAGAGGTTGGTTGGAGACCAGTTGACCACAATACCATGCCCCTCCCGTAATCACACACAACAACATACACACCAATTCACCTGGAGAAGGACATGCTTGGCTAGACTTGTGCCCCTTTCTATGAATGCATGTTACTAGTAAGGCAGCAAATGGCCACAAAGGAACAAGGATGAGCTCAGAGGGAAAATTCTGTGAACTGCAAGCTTGAGAAACAACAAACAGAACAGCTTATACCAGAGAAAGTAGGACTAATGGAAAACAGAGAAAGAATTTCAAACCAAAATAGTAACAATGATTTATCATATATTTCAAAACATCTAGAAGAAAATAGTTTTAGTGTTTCTAGCATAAAGAAAAGAAATGGGCTGGGTGTGGTGGCTCGCACCTGTAATCACAGCACTTTAGGAGGACGAGCGGGCAGATCACCTGAGTTTGGGAGCCTGCCCAACATGGAGAAAACCTGTCTCTACTAAAAATACAAAATTAGCCAGGTGTGGTGGCACATGCCTGTAATCCCAACTACTCAAGAGGCTGAGGCAGGAGAATCGCTTGAACCTGGGAGGCATAAGTTGTGGTGAGTGGAGATCGTGCCATTGCACTCTAGCCTGGGCAACAAGAGCGAAACTTCATCTCAAAAAAGAAGAAAGAGGGAGGGAGGGAGGGATGGAAGGAAGGAAGGAAAGAAGGGAAATATTTGGCTGGGTGCAGTGGCTCATGCCTGTAATCCCAGCATTTTGGGAGGCCAAGGCAAGCAGATTACTTGAGGCAAAGAGTTCAAGACCAGCCTGGCCAACATGGTGAAACCTTATTTCTACCAAAAAATACAAAAAAAATGAGCCGGGTGTGGTGGCATGCGTCTGTATTTCCAGCTACTCAGGAGGCTGAGGTAGAAGAATTGATTGAACCCGAGAGGCGGAGGTTGCAGTGAGCCGAGATCGTGCCACTTCACTCCAGCCTGGGCAACAGAGCAAGAATCTGTCAATAATTAATAAATAAATAAATATTCAAGGTGATGGATATTTCAATTTAACTAATTTGATCTTTAAAAATTATATCACGCCTGTAATACCAGCACGTTGGCAGGCCGAGGTGGGTGGATCACTAGGTCAAGAGATCAAGACCATGGCGAAACCCCATCTCTACTGAAAAATACAAAAATTAGCTGGGCGGAGTGGCACACACCTGTGGTACCAGCTACTTGGGAGGCTGAGGCAGGAGAACTGCTTGAACCCAGGAGGCAGAGTTGCAGTGAGCCGAGATCATGCCACTGCACTCCAGTCTGGCGCCTGGCAACAGAGCAAGACTCTGTCTCAAAAAATAAATAGTAAATAAATAATAATTATACGAATGTATTAAAGTATCACAAGTACCATTAAAATCTGTACATTTATTATGTATCAATTAAAAATAACATACAAGAAAAGAATAAATATGCTTGAAAAATTGAGAGAAGACACTAGAAACATGAAGTGGGAATAGGCATTTCAGTAAAAGAATCAGAAATATTGAGAATGAGTCCTGCTGTTATTGAATAGAGAATTTGATGGATTGCTTCAATAGTGAAGGTACCTAGTAAAGACATGATCTAGAAATTTAGGTCAAAGAGTTGCCCTAGGAGGCATCAGGAAAGGATAAGGAGAAACAGGGGAAAAAAAAGAGAGAGAAGGAAGAAATTTGATAATCAGGTGTCCAAGTCTATTAGAAATACTGAAGAAAAAACGAAACAAAGAGAAGCAAATGGTTCAAGCAATAACGACGGAGCACTTCCTGATGTCGGACACCTAGTAAACTGCAAAGCAAGGAGGTAAGCCCAGGCAATCTAGCTTGGGTACACTGAATACGATTAACTGCTATTTACTGCCTTAGATACACTACCTCAGAAGCTGGGCTGCAGGGGGAGAATTCAGTTAGGAACAGGGAATAAAGGGGGAAGAAGTATAAAATAAACAGAAGAAAGGCCATGCTTGAAGTGAGGGAAGGAATGTGTTAGGAATGAGGATAAAGTTTGGGTGTCTCAACTCTATGCGACGAGATCCTAACAAAGCAAACAAATATGAAAATCCTGCCAACATGGAAATCCACAAACTAAACAAAGCAACAAAAAGAGACGAGTTATTTCCTCTCTAATCCTCAATTTCCTCATCTATAAACGGGAGCGATTGTAACTCCTATCTCATAGAGTTGTTATAAAGATTAAATAACAGAATAGATGTAGAATTATGAGCACAGGAAAATAACCGGAAGTTATTTTTATGTGAGAAGAGACTCCCATAAAAATAATTTTATTTATTCATTTAATAAATATTTGTTGGGTCAGGCGCAGTGGCACACATCTGCAATCCCAGCACTTTGGGAGTCTGAGGCAAGTGGATCACTTGAGCTCAGGAGTTTAAGACCAACATAGTGAAACCCAGTCTCTACAAAAATTAGCCAGGTGTGGTGGTGCACGCCTGTAATCCTAGCTACTTGGGAGGCTGAGACAGGAGAATTGCTTCAACCTAGAAGGCAGAAGTTGCAGTGAGCAGATATCATGCCACTGCACCCCAGCCTGGGCAACACAGAGAGACTCTGTCTCAAAAAATAAAGAAAGAAATAAATATTTGTTGACATTCTTTTAGGCATTAGACAGTGGAGTACAGTGGTGAACAGAACAGACAAAACTTCCCCACTGTGGTGGGGAAGAAGTGTAATAAGCAAAGAAATACTAGTAGATATTATAATGTGACGAAGCCTAAATGTTAGCAAGGAAACTAGAGCAAGGTAAAGATGGGAGGTAAAGAGGTGCCACTTAGGGTGATCGGGAAAGGCCTATCTGCGGAATGAAGAGTGTGAAACGTCTGGAGGAATGGAGTTCTTGGTGGAGGGAACGGTGAGTGCAAAGATCCTGAAGTGGGAATACATGGCAGATCGAAAACAAACAAAAAAACCAGCAAAACTCTTAGGGCAGAGTGAACCAAGGAAAAGCAGTTAGAAATAATACTCGAAAGGTAGCCAGCAGCCACAGCCTTTGCATCTTCACTTGTCCCTAAACAGTTTCTCCTGGAAACCATCATTCTCAGCAAACTGACACAAGAACAGAAAACCAAACACCACATGTTCTCACTCCTAAGTGGGTGTTGAACAATGAGAACACACGGACACAGGGAGGGGAACATCACACACTGGGGCCTGGGGGGTGAGGGGCTAGGGGAGGAATAGCAGGTAGGGGAGGGATAGCACTGGGAGAAATACCTAATGTAGATGACGGGATGATGGATGCAGCAAACCACCGCCATGGCATGTGTATACTTATGTAACAAACCTGCATGATCTACACATGTACCCCAGAACTTAAAGTATAATAAATAATTTTTTTTTTAAAAAGTCAGTTTCTCAGCCAGGTGTGGGTGACTCACACTTGTAATCCCAGCACTGTGGGAGGCCGAGGTGGGAGGATCCCTGAGGTCAGGAGTTCGAGACCAGCCTGGCCAACATGGTGAAACCCCATCTCAACAAAAAATACAAAAATTAGTCAGCCGTGGTGGCACATGCCTGTAATCCCAGCTACTTAAGGTGGAGGCAGGAGAATCGCTTGAGCCTGGGAGGCAGAGGTTGCAGTAAGCTGAGACTGCACCACTGCACTCTAGCCTGGTGGACAGAGCAAGACCCCATCTCTAAGAAAAGAAAAAAAAGGCAGTTTCTCTTTCACCATTTGAAAATTTTTGTCTTGAACATCATATGAACTCAGAGGTATCCATCATGGAATGAAGTCCAGCGAGTGCCTTCATATGTTAATCAGCTCTTTCTGGCTTCTAAGGGTATGTATGTATGTATGTATGTATGTATTTAGCAACACATTCGTTTTATTGTCATCACCACTGGGAGGACCACGCTGGTGAGATCTCAGGTCTCCTGGAGGCTGGGCCTGAACTTAGTCACTGCTCAGGGAGGTGGTGGAGATGGTGATCACCTCTCACTCAGTGGTTCCTCCGGCTGGTCTCCTGACTCAGTGGGTCGGACTGGGTCCCCTCACTCAGTGGCTTCTCCGGCTGCAGCTCGCACTGGGGAAGCTCCTGGCTCGAAGGCTCACTGGGACCGGGGGGCGCTGGCCCGCTCCCTGCCTCAGGGGCTCCCACAGCCGCCATCTTTTTTGCAGCACTTTTCTTCCTGCCTCTCCCTCCATGAGCTGCTTTTCCTTTCTTCGCCACCTTGGGAGTCTTCCTCGGGCTGCTGGCCGTGAGCTGAGAAGGGGACTTCCTCTTTCCTGTCTCCTTGGTTTTGACCGGTGGTCTCGAGGCTTTCAGCTTTGGACCCATGAGTTATTTTAGAAGACACACGTGCCTCACAGCTGAGGCAGAAGACATCTCAAAACTGAGTTTCCCAGGCCATTTGCCTCTTCTCTGCTGGCCACAGGAAGTATCTTTGAATCCTCAGTGGTCATTCCAAACCAGTCCTCTAATTACCCTTGTCCAGGTCTGTGGGAGTTACTCAGACATGTTTGAAGCACCAGAGTCAGCCACACTCTGAGTCACCCCTTCATTCTAGGGGAGGCAGCCAGGAAGCAGCCGGCCTTGGGGGAGGTTTTGATTTAGTGCTGTTGGACTCTCTTACCCAGCCCTGCCCATGCCCGTGGGTAACCCTTTCTCACCCCTTCAGGCTGTCATGGCCATGTTCTTTAGAAGGGCATCCCAAACACAACTCGATCCTTCCTCCCCAGTGAAGGTTGTTCCTTGTCGCTAATCACAGCAGAAGATTCCTTTCATGTCCCATACCTCTCTGAGGGGTGTTCTGGCCACAGCTGCTGTACCAGAAACAAATGCATTCCTGTTCTTATTTGACTTTCCAGCCACCTCTGAATTTGTAACCAGCCTGGAAGGCTATCCAGTTTTTAATCTTCATGGATCTGGTTTGCATTATTATGTGTTGACAGCTTCATCTAGGTGTTTAAGGTACATTAAAACAATAAGATTAAGTCTCATAGTCAGTGCATAATAATTTTTTTAAAAGCCCAGAACTAAGGATATAAAAGAAAAATGAATGAATTGCCACCCATTTAGGGCTTTATTTAAATTTAGCATCTAGGACTACTATAAGGAGAAAAGTCAGTGGCCCATGAGACTTAAATCCAGCTTTCTCAGTCTTTTCCTTCAAATGAGATACAGTTCCAGAAGGTCAGTGCAGCTACAAATATTACCAGAGAGAGTGTCAACAAGGGGGCCACATCTGGACTGGCCCCTTTGTTCTAAACATTGTCATTATGAGAAGAGAAAGACTCCCAGCTTCAAATATTTTTCTTCCAAGTTTGGTGGGAAAGGACTAAAAAAATGTACATATTGGCCGGGCGCAGTGGCGCACACCTGTAATCCCAACACTTTGGGAGGCTGAGGTAGGCAGATCATGAGGTCAAGAGATTGAGACCATCCTGGCCAACATGGTGAAACCCTGTCTCTACCAAAAATACAAATATTAGCTGGGCATGGTGGCGTGCGCCTGTAATCCCAGCTACTTGGAAGGCTGAGGCAGGGGAATTGCTTGAATCCGGGAGGAGGAGGTTGCAGTGAGCCGAGAGTACACCATTGCACTCCAGCCTGGGTGACAGAGAGAGACTCTGTCTCAAGAAAAAAAAATAGTACATATTCTTACAATATCATCACTTTATCTCCTATGAACAATGATTTCACCTGGCATCTATGCTTACTATCATGCCACAAAATGGCAGCGAGCAGCTATTTTGGAGAGGATTAAATGGGGCTAATTACAGATATAATTTACCTGCTCTCATGCAACTCTGAGAAGGTGTTGATGGCTCCTTGGCCATAGCTCTGTACCTTCCTGGTAGCTGGCCCAGGTAGAGCTAGAAACAGGACTAAGAACAGTTTCGCTCAGTTCATGGTTGAGAAATTTGTAACTAACTATTCTTAGAAATTAGAGTATTTCTGATATTTGGAGATTGACATCATGAACAGAAACTATTCCACACTCTGAGGAAGTCAAGAAAATGTGACTTCAGGCCAGCCAGAGGCAGCCTCTGTGTGCTAGAAGGACCCTTCACCCAACCTGCCACTTCGTGGACTCCACGTGGCTAATAGGTAAGGACACTAACTCATAGAAATCTTGGAAACTAACAAAATAAATAGAACCTAGGTGTCAAAGTCCTTCAAAAGGACGTGTTCTCTGATCTTACAGCAGCAGCTTCAGTTCCTCTTTGTAATGGCCTCACTCAGAAGAACATGTAAAAAGAAGGATTTGAAACAACTGGAGACACATATCTCAGGTATGTCTTTTCCCATTAGCCCAATTTGATGTCGGCGAAGAACCAGTTGTCCCCTGGTAAACTATGGTGATGGAGAATTTAAAACTCACACGGTATCCTGCAATGTTTTTATTTTCTGTTTTCACCATATACTTTCTGCTACCTGCTAATGCTATTCCTGACATATGGCAGTGCTGAATGATCTGTACAGCAACAAGGTGGAATAGAAAGAACACAGACTGGAATGAGAAAGGTCCAGGTTTGACTCTCGGCTCTATCATGTACTTAGGTACATCATAGCCTGGTACACATATGAGTACTGGGTACTTGAAGTCACAAGTTTATTTCCATGTTAAACACACACACACACACACACACACACACACACACACACACACACACCAACTGCTTACCTGAATGTATAGGTCTGACTGAGCTGCAGTAACAAAACAGTAACAAAATACCACAGACTATGTCGCTTAAACAACAGAAATTAATTTTCTCACAGTTTTGGAGGTGGAAAGTCCAAGGCTAGGGTGCTGCCAGGGTTGGTTTCTGGTGAGGCCTCTCTCCTTGGCTTGCAGGCTTCCCATTGTGTCCTCACATGGCTTAGGCATGTGCAGAGAGGGGGAGCTCTGGTGTTTCCTCTTCCCCCAAATTTATATTACACACACACACACACACTGATTCCATTTATATGAAGTTTAAGAACCAGCAAAACAAATCTATGGTGGTGAAGGGTGACACTGACTAAAAAGTCACACAAGGGGATTTCCTGAGGAGATGGACATTTTCTATACCTTGACCTGGCTGGTGGTCACATGCATGTATACATATGAAAAAGTCTTCAAGCTGCATCTACAACTAAGAGTTGTGCTTTTTATTGAATGTGAATTGTATCACCATAAAACACTGTCTAAAACTATTATACTCCCTCTGACCCCCACCATAACCCATCTCTATTCCAGACCCAGGTCATAAGATACGGAAGCAGAGGATTCAGAGGATGGATATTTGAAAAAGCTTCCCGCTTCTCTCCATTACTCCAAGTTGCCAAACATCCTTTTAGGAATCAGAATTAGGCTGGGGATGAATATATCCATACATGTACATGTAAAACTTTAAAATTTGTAAAAGGCCCCTAGAGATCATCAGAGTTTTCTTAACAAAGCCGGCTTACTTACCAGTTGGCTTTGATTTGGGGAACTTGTTCTGTTTTCAGTGGCTTCAGTGTCTTTGAAGGTATAAAATTAATGCATTAATGAGAGGAACATATTGGGGCTGGGAGGAATCCTGGAAGCCCATGAGATTCTTCTTTGTATTTATAGTTTGAATTGGGCTTATAAGAAGTTGGTAGCCGGGCGCGGTGGCTCACGCCTGTAATCCCAGCACTTTGGGAGGCTGAGGTGGGTGGATCACG